TAAAATAATATAATAAATGTTTAAATGGAAAATTTTATTTACTGTGGCTTTGTAGTCCCTTGATAGACCAACATATCCATATTACCTTATTTGCTCACAATTCAAGTAACATTCTTCTATGCTTGGAACAATTCCAATAAATAAGGTTTTATTTACTGATGTCTCTTTTGCCATATCAGGATTAATACCCTCTTATTTAAGCAAAATGTATACTAACTTTTTCAGTTGAATGTGAATTATAGTATATTATTATAAATACTAGGTTTAAAAAATCAATTTCTTTATGCCTACTTGTACTTGTGAGTAAAGGTTTCTTTTAAGATGAACATCTTTTTTATAATTTGAAATGTTTATGACACCGAGACTTATCTTAAAACTACCACCTCCACCATCAGCAAACACTTCAACCTAAAACAGATTTTTAAATTAAAAACAAAAAAATGTGACTGTGTATGAATTACTAAACCATTATGTAAAAAATACCAAAGCATCGTGAGGTTGAATCCTTTTCTTGATGATTTTCCATAGAAGTTCCAAACTGCTTTTTATGAAAATGGAGGCTCTAAATAAAATTAGCTAGTGTTGGTAAATATTTTTGGAACTTTTTTTCTTATTTAAATGTTGCGTCTACCGCTAACTAACAAGAGTTTAAGATTAAAAAAAGTTAAGAAATGAAATAAAATAAAACATTGTTAAATTAAATAATTAAATAAGTTTCACAAAATTATTTTATAGCATAATATAATGAAAAATAATACCTAAAAGATTTTTCTTGGAAATCAAAAACTTTAAATTGACTGTTTCAAAGAATTCGTGTAAACATTTATTTGACTCTAAAATTTGATATTTTTAGTAAGATTTGATTTGACCGTATTTTACCTGTATACATTTAGCAATGTTGCTAATATCTCTTCCAGTGAATTGTCTGTGAATTTTCAGATTATGTGTCCACACAGGATTATCATGATGGATACTACCTACATTCGATTTATTTAATAGTTATAGTTATAAAGTTTTTAAAACTAGCACACAGATACAAGATACACCTAATTTAAGTTTGAAAGCCATACCTTTAGAAATAATCAATGGTGTTCCGCATCTTGCTAAGGTAATCTTATTTTACAAGGAAATTTCTCTTGAAGAACTTTTGCTGCAAATTTTTCATCAATGTTCTTCATTACAGTGATTTTTGAGGTTAGTATACGTAAATTTTATACTTGCGTCTGGGTTGTACATTTGTGCCCTATTTAACTAGAAATTTCAACAAAACATTAGTTGCAAATCTTCAAAGCAGATTTTTGAGATGCGGGTCTGAATTAATAAATGGTTTTTATTTTATTATAAAATTTAATTATTTTTAATTTGAAAAAATATACGTATATACTTGAATAAAATTTGCACTGGTCTTCTTATATGTGGTTTTATGTTGGCTCCTTTTCTTTTAGCAACTGAACATATAAAACACAAGCAAAACCCTTGTCTTCCAGTAACAGTCTCCCAGACCACACCTGTTAGACCAATTTTATGAATTTAAAACCATCTAGTTAGAGGGGCAGTATAAGTAAGGGCGAGCATGATGATGAAGAACTGTTTTAGATTTTAAGCAAATTACAGATACAAATATTGGATCATTGAAGTTGTATTCAGAAGATAAAAAAAATCTTTATAAAATGAATTAATAGAGTACTAAGTAAGGTTACTGATTTTCTGTAGCATATTGAGCATACTTTTTGTCTTGCTTTAGAATGACATGGAAAATAGTTTTACATTTTTTATTTAAGCAGGTTTTTAAGTTCTTTGGATTTTATATTATTTATGAAATATCTTGTTATATTAGCTATCATACAAGGAAATTAAATAAATAATTTACATAGAATACAGTGTTTCCAATAAATGATTTGAAATGAACATTTAATAAAATTATAAACATCTAAAGTTTTTCAATATACGTAAATTTAGCATTTAAAAATTACTCTAAAAATGTCTTTTTTTGTTTTTTGCAAAATGTCATATTTCATCAGGACGGAATGTTGCAATTTTTTGGAATATATTTTTGGAATCACTAGACAGAAAGCTAACAATATATGTAAACAGTTTTTCTGTACAATTTTTTTCAACCTAAAGTTCATTTAGCGACACTGTGTACTAAGTTAAGAAAAAACAAAAAAAAAATTATTTTTATTATTGTAACTTTTTTATAAAATATTTTCAGCAAAAGAAAAAAAAGATCTTATACAATGCTTAAAAAAAAAAAAATCATAAAAGAAACATACTAAAAAACTTTTATTTATCATCTTGCTAGAGCAAGAATATTTATTAGAAAATTTCTCAGAACAAACAATAGCAAAAATTATTACTGAATTTTTTAAAATAAATTAAAAAAAAAAAACAAAAAATTATTAGCCAAAAAATTGTACATGTTCAATTTTGTTTTATATAAGCACAACTTGATATATATATTTTTTGTTTGCTTTGTTGTAATGATTGATTTTATCAAAAA